TAGAAGAAAGCGATGTTCTCAATAAAACTCTGAAATGTGCACGATGATAATCAAATGGTCACACATTGTCTTATTTTGCTAATCCTTTGTATATAGATGATTCTCAAAAGAAAATCTAAAACTAGACTACTAATATCGTTGAACCACATAACAAGTGGCCCGAACCATAATGTGGAAAATTTCTGGAACATGTGGGTTATGGTTACGATGAGGGATGAAGATAGTGTCAAAGTTCTCTTTCAAACTTAATTCGCCACCAAAATATGTGTGCAAAGAGAAGATAAAAATTAGCTTTGTGGATACAATGAAAGTATGACCTTGTAGCTATTATTTGTCTCTAGTTTTGCACACCCCTAAAACAAATACCAAGCATAATAGAATAACAAGAACACAAGTATTTAAGAATAGAATCTACATAAAACTTTCATTTTTGGTGCTTTAGTTTTCAACGAAATGGTGGAGAGAATTGAAAATCTAAATTACTGGTATAGGATTTCTAGAAATACGAGTGAATGAAAACTTCAGTATTCACATACTTATTTTTATTTCTCATATACCATTTTCAATTTTCGCCATCAAATTGAATATATTAAAGAAGATCAATAGAAAAAAAAATAATAAGCGTGTGCAAAACATAATGCGCCAAATAGCACTATCGTATAATCTAATGACATAATATAAATTTACCTCTAGAGGGAGAAGTGGACAAAAAATTACCTATTTTGCCGTGGAAGCTAATTTGGGTGAATATCTACGTACTGTATGCTGTAAATTCTGCATCCAATAAAGGCATAGGGTAAAGTAGAGAATGGCAGACAAAGCATTCACTATAGATTAAAGATGACTGACAATTCAAAGTAGTCAGTTGTACTGCATGCAAATTTACTCATCCAGCGTCCTACTACTACGTGAATTTGATTAAAGCATGCACTATACGTATGTACTCACTTGTAAATGAACTGTCCCTCGCAATCAATGACATTTAGGTTATCTCCAACTGAAATGTCTAATATATCCCCATTCTAAATTATGGTCCTACACAAAAATTATTTTTAAATGGGCAGCTTCAGACTATAGTCATATGTTATTTCTAACCGAAGAGACTAAATATAACCCCTCAATAATTTATTAGTTTTAAGTTTATACTATAAATTTATTAGTTAATTTAATTAAGCTACTGTTAAATGTTTTCAAATCTAGCTGTTGAATTTGTATTATTGCAATTGAGGAGTTAGGCCCTAAAACAAGGCTTATAGGGGAGCTATATTTGGCTAGCCTAATGCCCATTTAGCCAAACAATGGCATGTGTGCTCCATAGAATTATAGCATAGTTATCGGTTGGATATGAGTTTTTGAATAAATCAGGCCATTTTTTTTGCCTTTTGAACCTTTTAGTCATCTCCATTGGAGATGACCTTAATTTCAGCAATGCGAACTACCCTTACAGGCTCTTCCTATACTATTTCACTTATCTCTGCATATTATATATTGTTAATAAATCATCAAACTCATCTACACACGTTCTAATCAAGGGATACTCTTTTGTTACAAATTCACCACATAGTGAGCTCCTATTGGACATATGGTTCATATTTGAAACACGTGATAAACATTAATTGACGAAAGAGGCCACTGCATGAATAGGTTGCAAGAGAAAATCCCTCGGTCTGATTAACACTATATGTTCTTATATTTCACACCGATGCAAATTAAGCTTTCAAATCCTAACCTCGTTTATGAAGTGCTCTTTTGTTATATATTCACTGTTTCATCAAAATTCGGCCACCTTATACGACATCGACACGCGCGTTAAAGAATGGAGCTTGTGTTTGTGGTCCTCTTCCACTTTTTCTTCACCTATTAATTCCTTACACTTTCTTCACCTTCACAACTCCATCCAGTTTCCCCCCTACTTAATAATGCTCAACCATTCTCCATTTCAACCAAAACCTCATTGTAAATTCTGGCACTTACACTTCCTTAACAATGGAGGGCAAGAACTTTGAAGGAAGGCAAACATGGAAAGAGAAGGCGAAGAAGGATGTCGAGGACGTAGAGGATGACTACTCGGATGAAGAAGAGACCAGTGGTGGTGGCGGAGGGTTGATGCTGAGATTTGAAGAAAATGAGAGGCAGAAGAAAGCTGCTGCAGCTGGAAGAAGAGGATCTGGTGGCGGAGGTGGAGGTGGGATAGCGCAACCGTCTTGTCAAGCGGAGAGGTGTGGGGCTGATTTGGTTGATGCAAAGAGGTACAACCGCCGGCATAAGGTTTGTGAGTTTCATTCCAAGGCAGCTGTTGTGATCGTTTCCGGGATTCAACAGCGGTTTTGCCAGCAATGCAGCAGGTCTAATTGCATCCCACTTTCCCTTTCTTGCTTGCTTGCTTACATTTTTCTGCTTCTTTATGATTTAGCACTGCTTCAGTATGATTTATGGAATAAAAATTGGGTTTTATACTCTCAGAAAGCAAAAACTCCATCCATACATAATGAGGGTTTTGACTAATTCTCCATGGGGAATTAAATTTAGAAAAATTCTTTTCATTAGTACATATAATAATTAAGGATTTCTGTTCCATTTCAGATCATGATGTCACTTAGAACATGGGTTTACAGCTATATAACAATTTTTTTTAAGCAGATTATTCCTTGATTTATGATTTTTCCTGAAAGCATCTTTCCATGGGAGTCAAATAGAACATACTATTCTAAATCCATATAGGCTGGAATATTAAAATAATGAACCACCTTTAATTGACTGGTATTGTTAATGGTGTCAAGAGGTTAATTAATTTAGTCAAATGCAGCCACTGGTCATTCTAAACCATGCAAGGCATATAACTGGTACAAGCTTTTAAAATTGGAGATGATGTAAATTATTAAGCTGCAGAATATTAATAAATGTCTGCTTAGCATAATGTGTTATCCAGTCGGTGAATATTTTCATTCCTTTGCTGTCCATTAATTATACCCAAGTAACTGAACTTGCTAGGGCCAATGCTATTTCTTGTGAAATTTAATTGCAGAATTTTTTGAGACCCTTAATTAATATGTTGAAGTGACTTCCGAATACCTCTTTTCTCTTCTTCAAGTCTGAAGTGTGTCCAAGGAAAAAAATCAATTGCAAAAATCATTTCCCTTAATATAATCCTTCATAAAATAGTACTTCTACATATCACCATGTTTTAGAACTTTTCCTTACTATGGGCATGCACTTCACAGGTTCCATGAGCTAACTGAATTTGACGAAGCAAAGAGAAGCTGTCGCCGGCGTTTGGCAGGACACAATGAACGACGCCGCAAGAGCTCAGGCGAACCTTACGGAGAAGGATCGAGCCGGAGAGGGGTTGGTCACCAGTACAAAGAAAGTCAGACTGGATATCAGATCACACCTCCAGGAAACTCTTCTTCCAAGCATTGCCAGATCAGATAAGGCCAATGCATGTTGTGATCTGCTCTCTACGTGCTCCCTCTCTTCTGTCATCCATGGATTTTAGAGGCTCTACGTATGATTGTTCTAATTATACTAAATATTGAGAATTCTGAAGGAAGTGCTATTTCTTTGTCTACCTAATTAGCTACAACCTTATGTTGGTATGCTATGTTTCTAGGCCATTACGTATGTAGAGTATGCAAGCTTCTCAAGCTAATGTGTTGTATGGTTATGTAGTTTAGACTCTTGCGTGGTCATAAGTGCTTATTATAAGCACAACAAAACTTCTACTGGAAGATCATGTGCTTCTTAGAAAAGCATTTACAAAGTATTTATGGATAAGCACCTCAAAAAGTTTTAATAAGATAATTATAAGTCGTTGGATGAAATTCCAACACGTATTAGACTTTGTGTGAGAGAATGTTTAAGTATGAAGCACTTATGCTCACAATACATGAGCGTATGTGCTTATAAGTGCATATCCTGGAACTAATTTACTATAAGCACAGCATAATCTTCACTAAGTTCAACTGCTTTTCGAAAAAGTATTTTGAGACTCGATAAAAAAATTCTATTAGTGCATCTAATTATTTCTATCAAGGCCGAACACGATTTTAGGTATCTAAACATGTACAATGTCAAGCTTATGCTGACAAAAGGTTGGACCAGTTAAGGCAATTATTCACCCCTGATTTATGATTGAACAAAAATAATTAAAATGGGCAACATAGTTTTTCACCATGATTGAAGTTTTGGACGGTAAGATGCTGAAAACGACTGCATATTATGGATATTACGGCCAACCACAATATGCTTCTGCTGGTCATATATTACTAGGATTAATAGTGACGTCTTATCTAAGATATTTTCCATACCAAACGACAACCTATCTTTCTGTTCATATATATTTCCCTTTTGTTAAGGTTCATCTTCCCTAGCTGTCTTTTTGTCTGCAAATATTAGCTTTTAGCTGTTCTTTTGTTTTTGAACCAAAAAAAAAAAAAAAAAAAAAAACGCTTTTCTTTTGTTTGTGATGGCTTGTCGATTATCTTTGTCACCATGTCAAATACTTTCTTCAAGATATTTTGAAATTTTGATAAAAGAAAGATAAAGACTTCAATTTCCAAATTACAAGTAGGAAAATATGCCAAATTAAATATGACATTATATTACTAATTTACCTGTAAATAATTCCATCTAACAGTAGAAAAAATAATAGAGTGCAAAAGATGAAAAAAGGAATGCAAAAATCACTCCATTTAAAAATCTTCAATAAAAACTAAATTTTTTTTTTAAACAAACGATATTATCTACACTAAAAAGGTGGAGAAGTGGACTAAGCCTTACAATAGACTAACAATAATATAGTTCAAATTCATTTTTTGTAAGAATCGAATATAAGTCCTCTATAAAATTTTATCACTGAAAACTACTAAACATGTAATAATCCCACACGTATAAATAAGAGATCTTTTTTGTTCAGCTAATTTGGTACAAATCGACAGACAATGACAGGCACCAAGGGAACACCGAAAACATGTTTTATTTCCTGTTTATTGCCCCATCAGTGAAAAAGTTGTATTTTGATTGAAGATTTGTAAAAGATTATGTTTCTGCATACAGTCATTCAGGAGGTGTCGACTCCAAGACCCTCGTTCTAGCTTTTTATATGAAATCCTCTCAACTACAATGTTGAAAGAGTATCAACATGAAAAGGGTACAAGAAACTTGAATGCCTGTTTATGAATACAACATACCTAATACATGATTAAGAAAAACGTAAATTATATGACACAGAAATTACGCGTTCACCGGAATCTTACAACTATACAGGAAATATCATCAGAACTCTTCCTATTGACGGCCTCTTCAGTAAGGTGCTTTGCTGCTGCCCGCGCATCCTTTATTTGTATGATACAATCCACAACTTCTTGGTTCGTCATCACCTGACATCAAATTTTGCATAAACAAATTTCAAGCCCAATGCTTTGCCATTTAATTACATGTTGCAGTAAGTAGATATAGTTGCAAAATTTCAGATAAACCAACCTTCCATAGTCCATCGCTTGCCAAGACAACGAACTCTGTGGTATCATCTATTAAATCCATTATCACATAAGGTTCAGAACTGAGATGTTTCTTCAAGCTCTTGTCGCCAAATGCTCTTGCTACCGCCAACTGCCCATCAACCCGTGGAACGTCCCCTGAATTCATCATAATCACAAAATTAAAAACTACTACAAGAAAACATTGATGTGATGAGAATGACAAGAACTAGAGAACTATATATTGATAAGGCTTTACGATCAATCTCAACAATGGAAGCTATGCTCAAGCACCTAAGGTCACAATTCGCAAATCACAAATCGAAGCTAGTGTACTTAACGTGTGAACAACATATCCCATAAAACTCAAACAACTTGAAATTTAAATAGTATTAAAAAACAGTATATTTCTCCAGGTGGTTTCCAAGCACATTAGTTTGTATCATCATAAATGTTATCACCTGGAAAGTTTGATACAAAACCACCTCTGTTCTCGATATCTTCTCTTTCTGTGCTAGGTTCGTGATCAACAGATAATTGTTTAGCAACACCATTCTTGCAGATAATAGCTCGAGAATCCCCAACATTGGCAACCACCAGCTTCTGGCAGTCAATTAAAATGGCCGTAACTGCTGTTGAACCCCCTTTGCCTAAATCAACTGCTTTCTCCAGAATGTTAGCATCTGTTACACAATATGCTCTTTCGACTGCCTTCTTGGGTTCTGTCCAGAAATCAGGCTGGGGAAAAAAGAAAACAAGGATCAAAAAGTATGGAGACGTTGAAATTTGATATGTAACACCGTTTAAGTGCAAGAGCTATCAAACAACAACTACAACAACTACAAAATCAAAGCATGTAAAAAACCTAACATAATACCAAACAACTACTGCATACATTACCTCTTCTAAGATATTCTTAAAGAGATTAGACTGCAAGTACTCAGGAATTTCATGGCTCAAATGACCATCAAATATTGCAAATAGTCCAAGCTCATGGTCATCGATGTGTTTAAATTGCGCAACAACATAGTCTTCCATAGGATGATGGGATTTTCCCTTAACCAAGTGGAAGCCATGTGTTATGTGATGCGACATCTTGCTCTTTCCTTTTCCAGAGTCGGGGTCTGATGGACCTAAAACTTTCTCCTGCAACAAACCAAAAAAACTCACATTTTAGATTCTCAACCGGAAAAATGAAACAGACAATATCAGAATTTCCATTTTTAATACGAGACCAGCAAGAGTATGCTAAAAAGTAATCACTTTAAGAAGACAAAACGAGAGAGAGAGAGAGAGAGAGAGAGAGAGGATACATTTTGTGAGAAGCTAGTTACAAAATAATCGAGCTTTGTTTTCAACTCTAATTGCTAGGCATAAATAATCATCTTACCTATAAAGCATCAAACAATTATCCATATTAGTTTAACTAGTCCATCATTTCCACTTAACTTTAGCAGTTCAGACTGTTCAATGAATTCAAGCCCTGTCCCCGTCTTCCACAAATACAAATTAATCAAAGCAAGGGAATGTAAAAAGTAGATGGATTTTACTTTACTTAGTAGTTTCTATAAATGTTCTGTCTAGAACTCCCCTATTTCTTCATTGATTTCGCTAAAAGCTTCTGCTAAAAAAATGATAAATAAAAGGGTTTTCTTCTTCCACCACCCATAACCCCCAAGGTAGCGAGAGCAATGAGGAACAGTACAGTTACAGATCTAAAACTGCAATTTTGAAAAGAAAAAAAAACACAAATAAATACGATTTGGAGATATGGGTTTTTGTTAATAACATACATAACACAAGGATCTGCAACAATTTCTCTATATGGTTTGGATGAAAACTAAATTTGCAGATCAGAAAGACATTAAGAGCAAGCCAAAAGAAGCCAATTGATGAACAGAGCGGTGAACCAATTGGAAAAATAATTGAAACCCATTAAAGCAAATACATGGAGGAGTAGAATTACTGTAAATGTAGCAAAACATACCTTCATCTTATGGAGAATTTCTCTGCCGGTCATGGTTTTCCTGATGTGAGCTTTATCTGTTTAAAAAATTAAAACTGAAAGATGGAAAATTTGGAATTCGAACACACTGGCCAACAAAACAGAGGAAGAGAGACAAAACCCAAAGTACACAGAGACGATGAGAGAGAGAGAGGAGAGAGAAGTGAGAGGGTTGAGGATGAGAATGAGGAATGAGGCTGATGGATGTGTTGACACGCCCTCTCCTCTCTGTTTTCCAGCCTTTCGCTTCCAGTTGTATGCCGTGTTGTTCTCTGCATTACTCAATGACGCGTTCGCGCCGCGACTTGTTTTCTTATCCCTTATTTAATAATATTACTGTTATTCCTAGCCTAAAGCGTTATCCCTTTACTCATTTTTAATTAAATATATAAAGAAAATTTTATTTGAATCATGTAATATTTATATTCAATTTACTTTTTTCACTCATATTATTTTTTATTAAAGAATTAATCTCTATTTAAACTCAAATTTATTATCTAAACTATCATCTCTAACTCAATTCAAAATGTTAAGTTATCTTTACATCCATTCTCTTTATAAAATAACATTTATAATTGAATATTTTTTTTTTTTCAAAGATGTGTCCTTGCCCCACCCCCCTCTTCCTACTAGCATTTACATGACTACTTTTTCTTCTTTTTGCTACCAAATCTACCCATTTGCTTTTTTTTTTTCTACTGATGTGCATAAAGTAACAAATCAAACAATTCATCCCCTTAAATTTATCAAAAAGCAAGGAAATTTATAATCTAAGAACATGGGTAAGGAGTTTCTCCTTGGGATTTTCCAATTATGAGGCATAGATATTTGACAACATGAAAAACACTAAGATTTAAAAAACCAAAATGACCCTGCAATTTAAAAAAAACCAATTACAACTTTTCCAACACTAAGTAGTTAAACTTGCTTGTCTTGATTTGAGAATTACAGGAAGATTGTTGTAGCTAGTTCCCTTTATCACATTACCAATTTTTCCACCGTGAGTTCTAAACTTAAAACATGATAGAAAATAAACTATAAAAAAAAAAATTCAACATATCAATTAAAACATAAGCTCTAAGCTTGAACTATTTAATCAAGGTAAGGATGGAGTTTTCATATATTTACTCGAAAAATATAAAATTTCATCAATAGAAGTAACATGTTGAAAGTATACAAGCTCTCACCTAGAATTATTGTAAAATTTTCATTCTTTTACTAGAAGAATATAATTTGTAGTAGGGGCCTGATCTCACCACATGTCCGGTTTAAATCAATTAAAAATATGGTGTGTTAATGTGTTAAGGTCCTTGCAATTCTGCAAGTCTGCTCTAAAAGGTCTATTACTTGTAAATGAAGTGATAGGTGGCACTATAGGAAATAGTTACATTGATGCCAAATGGTGTTTTGGGGGTGCAAACAGACACTGGTAGATAAAAACAATAAAAGAAATGGTAGGATAAATAAGAAGTGATGGTAGAGTTTAATGAGTTTATTAATAAATCTGAGTTTTATTATTAATTTCATTTTGTACTTAATAGTAATTATGCAATAGGATAAAATAGATAATTAACAATTTAAATTTAAGTTGGGTGTAAAAAGAAGTTACATAGGTTCAAATAAAATTTCTCAATATATAATTATAAGTTTGTTCATTTGTAAAATAAGGAAAAGGACCCTCTCTAGATCCTTTTTGTGGGGATACTAGGAATCCCCACATCCTAGCAGTTTATCGTACATCGTGCGATCAGTTTTCGTTAGATACTATTTGTATTTAATTTTAAATAAAAAAATTAAATGATTTCTAACCGCACGATATACGATGAATGGCTAAGATGTGGGGATCCTAGGATCCCACACAGTGGATCCAGATGGGATTCAATTCCGTAAAATAATTGATAAGGATAATAATAGTAGAAGGTTAGACGCGAAAAAATAATAATAGGTTGGATGCAGAAAAAAAAAATAATAGGTTGGACGTTAAACAATATAAGGAGCTCTAAGATTACATTCAATTGTGTTTAAAAGAATAGACAATATATACGTCGAATTCGTAAAAGAAAAAAAAAAGAAAAAAAAGGACATATAGGATGATGATAGAAGAAATTCTGGAACGAGAAAGTGCAGATGTCATTTCTAGTGAATGTATAAGAAGCTAGCAACTAATGATGATTGGATACTGTTGTAGTTATTGGAGTGCATAATCACAATGGCAGAGTGATTGGATGGTCATTCATTTGTTGATAGATTATTGTCCAATGAGACTTCGTTAGTGGGAAATAAATAGTGGGTGGACAACGAATCAAGAAGGACTATTACTACAATTTACTTACATTTGATTAAACCTGATAGTCAAGTGATGACAAACCAAGAATAATAGTGGGTGGGAAATTGTAGGGATATTGAACCGATATTGTGGGTTAACTATTGCTCCAATTTGATTAAAGTTGAGGAACTATTACTATAATTTACTCACTTATTAAAGGTTATTTTAAGAATAATAGTGCTTTCTATTTTTTTTTTTTTTTTTTTACTTTTTAAGGTAGATGAAATTATATTGTAGGTAGAAAAACAAGACACTTCGGTGGAATCCTACTTAAAAGTCCAAACTACACGAAAAAGTAGTGTTGAACCCAATACGTAATAAGTAGAAGAAAAAATCCTAATCAGTAATTTACCCCTTGTTTTATACTATTTTTAAGATTAACTCTATCATTCCATATTTTGTAGAACACGATATGGCAAGCGATAGAAATCGCGACCTCAATTAGTGATTTAACTCATTAATGTTAAAAGATTTATGAGTCACTTAGTACTATAGCTTAGTTGTATTTTTTTCGTATTTTTCTTCATTCGCAAGTAAGAGATTTTAAGTTCAAATTCATAAATAGAAAATTTAATACCAATTTATTCTCCCAATCTTTAGCATCTTGTAGTACTTAAAATAAAAAATGGGATGTTTATCTTACTTAAAGCTGAATTTGTCTGACTGTATGTTAATTGGAAGATCATGCCATCATGTAGTATGGCATTAAAAAAAAGTAATAAGTATAGTATCATGAACACTCATGCCCTAACCAATTAACTTAGCTAACCATTAGCTTAGACCCGCTTCCACAATATTTTTCATAATCTGAATGAATCACTGTTTAGTTTACAATTAGAAGATCAATATTGCAAAAATTCACTAAAACTACGAGGGTGTATTGTGTTCAGGTTTATATAGATTTTTGCATTTTTTTAAGGATTAAGTAGCTAAAAACTTTCCAACTTTATAGTGTCATTTTAAATTGGTCTTAACTTTTTTTAAACATTCTAAATAAGTGCTCAACCTATTGAAAATATCACATCTGTTAAGCTGCAATTAAATTTCTGGTGATGGGTGTAGGAGGTTTTCTACGGTGATGATGGGTATGACAAGGTGGTGGTAGAAGTGATATAATGGAGATGATGGGGGACATAGTGGTATTAAGAGTGCAATAGTGATCTTCGTTCCATCATGGTGGATGAAGGAGTATCAAAGTCTATGAAAGTTCATCAAAATCTTAAAACGGGGAGTTGGATTTGCTATGACCTAAAAGCCTATAAAAGTCTATGACTTTTTAAAATCCTTTAAAATAAACTCATCAGACTTTTGTAGATATTTTATATAATATACTTTTATAGACTCCATAAAATTATGTATTGAATACACCTGAATTCGAGAGATTTTTTTTTTAATGAATTCAAGTGTATTCAAGAGTTGAGCAAAGTTCATCAAACTCCATATACGATACACCTTCTTAAATGACATTTAGTCCTCTAATGCTGACCTTATAAATCAAAGAACATAGCATTGTCGATAAATAATAAAAATATTCACAATTAATTAAAGAGCTTTTGATTTCTGATAAGAGTGAATTTTATGAAAGTAATATATAAATGATGAACTAAAAAAAACCTAAAAAAATGATCGGACAACGTTGTGCTCCATAGAGCATTTGCCATCTTTTGGTTTTTTGTTTTTTTTTTTTCTCTTCATATATTTATTTTAGGCCTAATTAGGTAAATAGTCCCCGTGGTCATAAGGTATTTGGAAGGGAGCCCCTATGGTAAAAAAAATTCGGATTTAAACCCTTGTGGTCTAAGTCTGTTAGGATTTATACCCAAAATTGAAACTTTCAGTCATTCATCCGTTAGTATCATGCAATTAAGTGTCACATGTGAGGATAAGATGGTCATTTCATCCCCGTTTCATTATAAACAAATAATTTTTGGGCCCCTCATCCTAATCTTTCTCCTTCAAACTCTCCCTTCTCTCCTAACGCGCCCCAGAAGATGGGCACCGGCCAGCTGGAAAATTTTCTGCTCCATTCACCCTAAAATCTCTACCAAAACACACGAAATTTATCTCAAAACGAAGATCAGAAAACAAAGAGTAGAAATATACCTTTTTTACACCAATTCGTGGCCAGATAATGGCCTGAGAACGGCCTGAGGTTATTAGCCTGAAACTGGGCTTTTGGTTTCTCACGAAATCAAGGTAGATTCAAGTCTCCCATGCCCGAATCTAAACCTCAGGATGAAGGGGAAGTGATCCGTTGTCCAAGTCTAGTCCAATCTAACCAGGAATTGACGGATTTTCATCTAAAAACTACGAGGTGGTTTAGGGTTTAGTCCATCTATGTTGTTGTACAGAGAAGATGAGAGGTTAGAGAAATTGGGGAGTTGAGCGTTGAGGGAGAAAAGAAGAGAGAGTGACACAGTTGTGGTGGTGGTCTGGTGATGGCCATTCTTTACACAGAGAAGAAAAGATGGTGAGCGTTGGGAGAGAAAGGAGAGTTTGAGGGAAAATGACCATCTTATCCTCACATTTGACACTCACGTGCATGATATTAACGGAGGAATGATAGAAATTTCAATTTTGGATGTAAATCCTAACAGACTTAGACCACAAGGGTTTAAATCTGAATTTTTTTACCACAGATGCTACCTTCCGAATACCTTATGACCACGGAGACTATTATCTGATTAGACCTTAATTTTATCCCTTGATTCGTTGGGATAAATGAGAAAATTAAAAATAAATAGAGTGGTATTAAGCTCACCTCATTATCTTATCATTTCACCCTCTTTAAAATATAAATGTCAATGACATATATCTCCTCTTATAAAATGACATTTAAGGACTTAAACAATAACTGATAACATTTTGCCACATCATCATTAGTTGAAATAGTAGGAAAAAAAAAATTAAAAAACCCACCCTACTGTACAAGCCCAACCAGTCCACACCCGCACTCCTCCCTAACGGTGGCGTCGATGCCAGCTCCTCCCTCTTCAAATTCCTTTTCTCTCATGACGGATGACAGCCTTAATCTAATTCCGGCGGAATGGAGATTCTGAACAATATATGGGTGGAGCAGTGCAGGTGGGTGGTTGTGAGGCTATGACCGTGCTGCGAAGGGTGGCATAGGGTAAGGCATAGGTGTTGGCTACGGCTGAAATTTTAGGGGTCGTGGTGTTCTTGGGGTTTTGGAGGCTTGATTTTTTTTGCAGCGAGTGGTGAGAGTTCCGTCTTTGAAGGTCAATCTGCCTCCTTTCGGTTCTTTTTTCTCTCTCAAATATCTTCAGAACACAACCCTCAATCCAACAGAAAGAACAAGGGAGCGAGCAAAGTAATTCTCACTGCACATGTACAAAGTGCAGCAATGCATTGACATACTCATATTTCTTGTCCATAGTCTGATATTCAATCTTTAATTAGCACTCTGACTTGGTTTTTTATGATGATATATATGTACCAGTACCTCTTTTGCCATCTCCGTCCTTCTTTGAGCTTGACCCAGTAAAGAGGTGACTGTGGACCTTCCATGTCTGCCTTGATGGATTCTTGTTTGTTGGTTGAATTACTGTTGAATATGTCCCATGGTTGGTTTTTTTTGTTGAGATAAATATATTTTACATGTATATATACGTATATATATTTATATATACATATTACAGAAAATAAAAATTAAAGAACTTAAAGATCTTTAAAAGGTTATAATTGGAATAATGGTGGGGGAAAAAAGTAACGTCATTATTTACCTTTTTATAGTGAATAAGAATATAATGTGAGTAGAAGGGAGCAGGCGAAACAGCAAATGCAGGGACGCGTAACTGGACGTTAGGATTTAGGCTTTTTATAGTTAATCAACATAGGATTTGACTGTACAATATTTACTTTATTATCATACACGTCAAGAAACAAGCATATCGTAAAAAAATTTGCAATTTAAATATGAGGTATTTGTTGATTGTCATCTGAACTTGTATAAAAGTGCTAATTTTCCATCTTAACTTTAATTTTAGTCATCTGAATTTTTTATAACTAGCCAATTTTCCTCCTGAACTTTACCTTTAACCGACTACTCCTAAATTTTATAAATAGTCAATTCCTCAGCTTTAGATTTTAAAATTTTCATCTAATTTTTCATTCTTTTTGCCCCCATACAGTTGTCATGTGTTGTCCCGTGATCAAAATGGATAAAATATTGAATGAAATTTTTTTAAATCTAGCGTCAGCGGAAAATTAGCTAATTATAAAAGTTTAGGGGGTAATCGGTTAAAATTAAAGTTCAAGAGAAAAATTAACAGTTCTATACAAGTGTAGGAGACAAATTCAAGTATGTCTTTTTATAAAATAATTAGCCTATAGCAGTTTATCTTTTTGAGCCGAAAATATTCATAGAGTCACAAGATTATTAAATTATTAATGACTTTTCAAAAATTTTCTTTTCAAAACTACTATTTCAAGCAAAAAATATGGGTGCTATAAATACATAGTCGTATGTAACATTTAGGCCCCTCCAATTCAACACACAAATTGCCCTATGCAAACTCTCACTCTACGCAAAACCTCTCAACAACCTTGAGATTTTTATTTTCTTTTTCCGCCAACACATCTTCAGTTTGGATAAACAGCTATGAAGGCATTCGGTGGCATCTTCAGTTTGGATGAACAACACTGTTGTCGTAAATCAGTAGACCGCGGAGCACCTTCAGTTTGGATAAACAGCACTGCGTCGAGGCCAACTGGTTATCTATCCAAGTCTCGGTCAAGAAGGATTTTCGAATCCTTATTGGCAGAGGCCGTCTTATTAGCCTTCTCGGCGAGGTGAGGTGTTACAGGTTACTACATTCGGCACATTGAAAGCCGAATTTGATATTGAACTTCGCAGAACTAGCAACCTTGTCTTCAGGCTCTAGAACTCGAAGGCCGAGACGTGTTCCTTCCTCGGCCGCAATCGCAAGATCAAGAAGTCAACAACGCGCCCAATTCCACATCAACATATTTTACTCCCCGGCTGAACTCGGCCGACGAGTTGGCACGCCCTGCACACAACTGAAGGACATAGTTAGCTTATTAATTACTCAGCATGCGCACCACGTAGGCTTGGTAGTTTTTAGAATCAACACTAGTACAAAGAATTCATATTATCTAATTCAAATCATGTTAGTTACATCTTTCAAGTTCATCAAATTTCAATTAACGTTCTTTACAATCCTTAGCCTACCTCGTTTAAAACTCCCGACTCGGCCCTCGCCTCGACCTATCATAAATATACTTGTATGCATGCTTATATTCGTGTGTAACTCTGTATGCATGTGTAGATATACGTTAATACATACAAACAAATTCTTTCGTTACATTAAGGAAAATTAAACCTTCAGCCTATAATAATCCTAACTCGTTGTTCCACGGAAGTTCGTCACTTCGGATAACTCAAACAACTTTGTGTCAACAAAAAAACAAATACTGAGCAAGGAAGACAATGGACCTACCACACATCATAATTAGAGTATCATTCAAGGAAGTGTATTAACTTAACAGGCATTGTTTAGTGTTTGTGTGTTGTGCGAGTGTGGTGGGTGGAAAGAGGACTGTCTAAATCTGGCTGACCTGTGATCCCCAGTAGCATGATGAGCTGAAATGGACCCATGGGGTCTCCACAGAAACCCTAGTAGGAGACCACAGAATTTTCTAAGAGACACTTTGTCTCCATGTTTGTGAGTAATCAAAGTGTTTAATCAAATTCTATAGAAACTTGCACTCATTTTTTTAAGTGCCTTATGGGAGGAAGGGGCCTTTGCTTCCACAACAGAAAGGAAGCTGCAAGCCAATGTGTTGGAGATTCCATCATTGCTTGGTTTTGTAAAAGCTCAGTCAAGCCAATATGCTTGTTGTTATGTCTCCTGATCATAACTCTCCCTTTCTGCTTTCAGATGTGGAAAAAGTGTATTTGGGGGGCTTCACCAAATTGTAACAAAAACAAAAACCAAAGCTAGTGGACAAAAGGTTAAAGGGGAATCCACTGGATTAGGAATAAACAAACAAGCGTTTGTGAGTATTTAATTCTGTGCCTCAAAGATTTTATATGATCTTATGCCAAAATACAATAAGATCATCAAGGATTTCGATCGGCTCACCTCTTGACTAAATCTATAAAACAGTTACTTGTCAACTTTTGATTTATCACTACATTTCAATTTAGTGTGTATGTAGAGATTATGTTACATGTACCACATTTACTAATCATAAATTACAGATATCGAAAATCATATGAATTAATTCTACTTCGCAACCAATGAATATAATATGAAAAATGGTTTATGTTAACCTATTTTCTCTTTATGCGCTATTCTCCTTATTTTTGTATCTTGATTCTCTTTATTTATACTGGCATATGCCTACATGTTTTGTATATGTTTTATTTTGGTTTTTAAAATGTAAAGGAGAAAGGAAGAAAGAGAACGTGAGAGTGTGGAGAGTTTTTTGTATTTTATTTTTATATTGGATATATGCTAAAATCACATGTACGTGAAGTTTCAATAAAAAACAGAAAATTTTGATTTTGTGAAATTACATTATTGTTTCATTATATTTTTTTTTTTTTTGTGATAGAAGACTAAATAGCTTTTTCACCTTCTTTTTAATTGATAAAAAAAATTCTATTAATAGATAATTTAGATATTTATTTAATTTGACAACTAAAAAGAAGATGGGAGTGCAAAAGCATTTCCCTGTAGTTCGATACATTTTGTCGATGTAGTAATTTAGGTTACCATGCTCATATTCAAGGACATGATAGCCATTCATGAATTGATTTATGCTTGTATTACAATTTATCATAGTTATACTAAATGCGGGGCATTCTGCAATGTGGGTTTTATGTTTGACTAAAAACTGTTAAGCCTCACGACATCATGTATGATTTGACACAATTCCTTTGGAGTATCCCACACTATGAGAGTGAGTGTTATGGAACCCCACCCAAGTATTGAATTTGACATTGAGTTGGCAAGTAGGATTTCATGATTCACACCACCACGGTTCTACCCGGCCATCTCACCCAGTAGAGGGTCAAGATCACTCCACTTGTCTCAACCATAGCAAAGAAATCTCAAGTTCCCTGCTTTTTTCCTACCACTCCATTAACAACCCTCTTATAAATGTACAACCTACCCCATGCAAATACACCAGTCTCCCCTTAAAAACCTTCCATGGAAAACCGCCATAAAAAAAGCTCCTCCGCCGGCACATTCTCCTTCCCGAGCACTCTGATCCACGACCAAGACTCCGACTTTGAGTTCGGGTGCTTCACCCCAGACTCGGCCTCCAGCACTGGTCCCTGCAAAGACTCCCCCGCAGACCACTTGTTCCTCAATGGAAGGCTCTTGCCACATGCCTTCCCATTTCAACCTATTAGCAACGGCTTTATGGTCGTTGATAATATTTCTCGGAGAACAAGCCGGACGAGCAGCATTAGCAGCAAGGACTCTCTCATGTCGTCGAGAAGCAATAGCACCAACAGTAGGAGTAGCAGTTGTAGCAGCAGTGCTAGGACAAGCTCAAGTGACAATTCCGAGAGGAAGTTCGTGTATCACTCCAAATTATCATCCGATACAAACAAAGGCAACAAACCTAATAACAATATTTCAAGTCATCAAGTTTATGGGAATTCGCAGAGGTGGCAATTCATAACAGCAGTGCCCGTGCCGGCTTCTTTAAGCCGTAATAATTCGCGGAAGAAAGTGATCAAAGTGGATCAGCTTGAAAGAAAAGAGAAATCCGTTAAGGCGAAGAAAAATAGCCGGGTGAAGACGGTGGTGTTCCAGCGGAGATTCTTATATGGCCGGAGGTTTTTCCGGTGGCTTGTTTCGACGTGCAAAAAATGTCACGCAATGGAGCCATCCAAGAAAAGTACTAATGATAATGCAATTAAAGCTGGAAATTAGTCAAAGTGAATTGTGAAGTTACATTAATTAATGATTTTTATCTGTTAATTTTGTAATTTTGAAGTTAGTTTATATATATGTAAGGTTTTGAGAGAATACATAATGGCTTTAGCTTTCGCTTTGGTTTTTTATTACTTTGAACTTTGAAGAAAAGCAAAAGGTATTATATATTCTGGGAACGTTAACCAGAAAAAGAAAACTTGGCTTGTTAATAATGATTCTTCACAATATGCGTTTAATAACACTGCAGAGCAAACGTTATCTTAAGTTGAATTTGTTAACCTAATCAGATATATCTAAAAGCAAAGGCTTCAACAACTCAACTTTTAGCTCTTTCATTCCATAGTTGGAAGGTCATAATCTTATTACTTTTGACACAGTAGATCATCGTTGTCATTGTTTGAAATGTAGTGCAATTTGGGTAAACGCTTTAAATCTGGTTGTGTTGTTTTTCCACGTGTTTTATTTTTGACTTGAAGTAGTGTTTGTTCGATTATAAAGAGACAACTAAAAATTTAAGTCAGCAAAGCCAACTACATCCTCACAAGAAAGTTAAAGTATAACATATTTCACTACATCGGTCAATTATTGGATATTTTGTTAGGATCAACAATGACTAGGCTTCAATTGGCTTTGCTAACTTGAACCTTTTGGTTGTCTCCTTGGATCATTGGCTCCAAATTTATCAAGAAATTTCCCATATGATTGTACGTAACTTCTCAAATGAAGTAAATTTGATTGAACGTACAAGTTAAACCAAATAATTATTAGGGATCTTTACCTATAAAGCCAAAAACACAAAATACATTTCCATAGAATTTCACTAGTTTTGAATCATTTCAATGAGAGACAAAAGTTTAGACCCCAACAAACCTATCCAAAAACAAGCAAACCAAAATTTTAAAATTCTAGTCATTTACTTAATCAAGCCAAAACTACAAAAAGACACCATCTATAAAAACTTCAAACTGATTTTAAATTCGTAAAAACTAATATCTATAAGATCAGTTTTAAAATTCTTGCAATTCTACCAGATTAGTTCTAAATTTTAGCAATTATGCAACATCAATTTCAAATTCATGCACTTCTACAAGATCAGTTTCAAAAAATTTAAAACTTCTACAATATCAACTTCAATGTTTTTGCACTTCTGCATGACTAGTTTCAAAATTCATGCAATTCTGCAAGACCAATTTCAAAATTCCAACAATTCTGTAAGATTAGCTTCAAAATTCCTGTACTTCTGCAAAATTAGTTTCAAATTTTTTAGCACTTATGCAAGATAATTTTAAAAAATTTTGCACTTTTGCTTGTCCACTTTCAAAATTCATGCTCTTCTACAAGATCAGCTTCAAATTTCTAGCACTTCTACAAGATTAGTTTAAAAAGTTTAGCACTTCTGCATGACCATTTTCAAAATTCATGCACTTTTGCAAGCTCAGTTTCAAAATTTCAACAATTAGGCTAGATCAGCATTCAAAATTCCAGCAATTCTACAAGATTAGTTTCAAAATTCATGCATCCAAACCTCAAAATCAAATACTTCCAAAAATACTAAAATCAAAACAAACAAAAAAATCTCAATCATTCTCATAAAAAACACTCATAAATTTAGGGAACAATAAAGAAGAAGAGAAGGGGAAAGAGAAGTATGAAGAAAAGTAGGAGAGGGAAGGACTAAGTAGAAGGTGGAGGAGAGAGAGGCAGGAAGAAGAAAGAGGAGAGAAAATGAGAGAAGTAACGGGAAAAAAAAAATTGGAGAAAGGAGCAAGACCAATTTTTTTTTTTTTTTAAACTATATTATCTACATTAAGGGGAAGGGTGGTAAGTTTAGTCTCACAATAGAGAAATTTTTTATTGTGATCATGATACAGGTGGTAGGTATATCATGTGTTTTTATATAAGTGATGAGAAATTTTATTTTTTAAGTTGTTAAATTTTTTAACACACATATCCCACCGTTTGTATAATGACTTGTGATGTACCATCCCGTATACCGGTTACATTGAAAAATCTCTTTTCACGATGAGCTTAACCTCATGCAATAAATAAAATATTGTCTCTCTCCAAAATGTATAATTTAACTCTATATGTAATTTACCCTTATTATCTTTATATCTAAAGAAATTGAATTATGAACTATCATAATCATAACTTGTTACTACTCTTACCACTCATGCTAACCCAACAGTAAATCGAAATCCTTTTAAAGCATGAATTATGTGTCAGTTTACAATTTGTGCTAAAGTGAATTGTTCAAGAGGGCTGGGCCACAACCCTTAACTGTTTATCCGAATGAAATTGTTTCAATCCAAGCCCCTACTCGTATGATTCAAAAGTCGACTTGGGTTAATAAGACAAGTCGAGTTGAACGTGGTCTACATAGTTTTGTCTAGGGAGTTTTTATTCGGACCCAGCACAAATGTTCAATTCACTCAATAAAACATGAAAATGTCCAAAATTATCCCATAAAAAGTATTTTGAAAACAAAAAAATTAAAAATGAACAATCATCAGCTCACCTTTAGTTTAATATACTGATGTATTATATGAAAAATGAACACTCGACATTGCCGGACCTCAAATCCACTTAGCCTAACCTCGATATCTCTGTCGTCGTCATAGAATTGCCATTAGCATCGACAAAGGAGTTTATAGAATGAGTTGACGCCATTGTCGTAGACGACGACGGCGGCAGTGCTGGTGGTGCTTTGTAGTTTGGGTCCAATTAAATGATCCATTCTTTGTATTTGTAGTTAAAGTAGATAGTTTTTGGTTGCTTAGTATTACAGTCTAATAGTATTACTTTTCATTTGTAAATAAAAGGTCTTAGATTAGAATCTCATGGATGACGAGTTTGATACCAATTTGTTTCTCCACTGCATAGTATAAATATGATTGACTATATAAAAAGGGTAGTAGCACTCCTTTTTGCTTTCTACACATCTTATGTTAATTTCTATCTTTTGATTCTTCATTCGACAACTGAAAATTAAATAAATAGTATGAAAAATAAAAAAGGTCGTTGTGGCTAGATGTGCATGTAATCTTGCAGTAGTTGAAGGATGTTATTATGTTGATTTTTTTTCCTAGTACAAGCAATATAAGGCAAGGAGAGGTGAACTTAAGTGCAACAGCGGTAGTACAATGCTTTAATCAACTTAGTCATGCTAGAGGGTGCAGCATGGTGGTTTTCTTAATGCTTACATTTAATTTAAGATTCCGTGGCAATAATCAGAAGAAAGAACAAAATTGAGAAAAACTCTTCATGGATTAACTACAAGTACATGATGATCACTGATTAAGTCTCGCTAACTGAAGGAACCAAAAAAACACAAAAGATATAAAGAGCATGAAATCAAAGAACAGAAGTATAATCAGCAAAGGAGATGGACAGCTTTGCCTACATACAACTCTTCACCCATTGTCCCTCTCTCTAATACAGCCCTCCCCATTTCACTCCAAGAATGTCTCCATGACATCAGAGTACATACCAGCTTCCGCGTTTCGATACCCGACAGGCTGGTGCTGATGGTGGTCAACCGAATTCGAAGACGACGAAGCCATTCTTGCAGGTAAAGTAAAGCTCCTCTTGTACTTGTTTTCCATGTTCTTCCTTGCGCTACCATCCAGATGGCAGTCCAAGCTCAAAAACTCATTGTGATCTGAATTTGCATTCGAGTTCTGGTGGTGGTGATTTTCGTCCCCACCTTTGTTTTCCGAGCTCTCTGGATTGAACAAAAGCTTTGCATCATCAGACCGCCCCGTTAGTGCATTAAAGAAGGACAATCCATTAGGCCATTTGATGTCACTTTCCTGCTCTCCTCCTCCTCGTCCTCCTCCTCCCCCCATCATGTCTCCTCCCATCTGTGTTTCTGACGTATGAGGCAGCAAAAACATGTGTGTCTCGTCTTTACCAGCTTGAGGATTGTACCCAAGTCTATCAGCAGAGTTTTGAAAATTGGGTGAAGGAAGCTGCATGGTTGCTGCAGCAGATGGAAGAGGCCTTTGAGCCCAACTGAAAAGAGGCGGAGGAGGGCGGATTGGCATCGGGGACTGCATTGAGGGCAGTACTGATGATCCAGAATTGTTTCGGTTTGACGAAAAGAGTTGGGAGAGGTAGAAACCAGACTGGTAGCCTAGAGATTCAAATGTATGCCTCATTCTTAGCACAAAATGCAGGTCTTCCGGTATCTGACCACACATTGTTCATACCCCTTTCTTAATCAACAAATTAATAACATAAAAATACAAATATATATTGAAGCGAAAAGAATACATAATCTCACAATCTTGCAGGAGCCCAACTGCAGAAGCCCATGACCAGCTTGAATTACAGCAATAGTCTGGTGAAAATTAAATTAAACTGTTTAAAAAAACTAAGAACAACTGACACCTGGGGGAAAAAAATAACTTTAGCTTCACAAAATGACGAAACCAATAACAGTGAAACAGGAACTATTTTTCTGTTCTGACCTGAATGCCTGACTCAAACTGATCGGTCCATTCAGGAGGAAGCTGCAATAAATAGCATCAAAAAAAGTAAAGCTAACACCATATCAATCAGGAGGAAGCTGCAATTCCGACCAACGACTCGGTCGTAGGGCTTGTGGGGCTTAAATACTCTTTAACCGCGTGAACTACTAGCGCTACTGATAAATAAGCAAAAAGAAATATGTGGGTTTGACTACATACAGCATCATATGAACTTTGCCAGTAGTTGGAGATGTTTGGCTCACACTCTGTGGGTTCTTTGAAGACCCATTTGTGGCACTTATCAGATGCAACCTTCCCCATCAACCTGTTTAAATGAGTGCAATCAATGAGAGCACACATACAAACAACTCATTTCCCATCAAACTTCTTTTACAAACGATAAAATAAATACACTAAATTCAAACTTGGGTGCTGAGGGTTGAGCCAACTTGGCTAAAACCCATGTCTGCAACTCCATACAACTTCATGTCCTGCAACGTTTTTTTAGAGAGAGGAGAGAGAGACAGAACAACAAAATAAAAAGACATACCAAGTACCCACCCTTCTCCATAATTATACAACTGAATGGACATTTTGCTGAAGGCCTTTCTGACAGGATCTTCTCTATCAATTTCTTCC